GTGTGATTCTGCACGTTCTTAAAGAAGGATTATTGTGAATTTAGCGGGTTGGCTTCGATTTTTTTTGCACAAATTTAGTAAACTAATCGTCAAGCAATGCAACACTGGTCAAAGCAGCTGGACAATTGAACTACAGCTAATTAAGATAGTGCATCAAAGACCAGAATTTATGGCGATGGGATGTGAAATTTTGCCTGATTTATTCGGGGCGATAAAAGTTTGAAGCGAGAGCCAATGAATTCTTGCGTTTTTTGCTAATTTAAAGTTGAAAATACTGCTTATCTCTTTATCACTGAATCGCTCGGAACTGTGCGGTGCAAGCGAGGGAGGAGATTTTCGTTATAAATTGCAGTATTTCATACAAGTTTTTTAGGGGTTAACTTATTAGAATTAGGCAGAATTTTGTAAAAGCAATACGCAAAGAATAGATATTAGGTAATAGTGAAGTTGAAAATCGCAAGGACCAAAATCTATTAAATATGCGAGAAAATAATAGTTGTAATTGAAACGTTTCGGTCCATTAAGTCGCAGACGTTTTAACCGAACAGCACAACTGGATCTGGTCCGTGAGAGACGGTTGTGTCGTAAAGTACGCGATTTCATGGATCGAAACATTTCTTTCTTGCTGCGGTTCGATATCGCCTACATAAATGTTTGATTATTAAAACAAATTCTTCGTTCACGTGTCTATTCGGAATTATGCTTACATTCAGAAGGCTTAAACTGAGAGTCATTTAGAAAATTTTTATGAAAAAAATGTCCTAAATAATAACGCAGGTTCCGTAACTTTTTACTTGTCTTACAATCCTTTTCTAATCATTTTATAAATACGAATTAAGGGGGGTTGAAATTAATGAAGCAAGGGGAAGGGACAAGAACGGAATTGTGGATGGTAAGCAGAATATAGTAACGGGAAAAATTTCTAGATACTAATAAGATAAGAAGAATGTAGCAGGGAGGAAAATCCCCACGGGTGGGATCGAACCCTGGATCTTCCCCGCGACAGCAGTGCTTCTTGCCTTTGGGTGCCGTACAGAATATACTCATTTTTCCTGAAAAATTTTGATAGGTAATGTGCAATTTTGAGGAGTTAATG